CAAGACAAAGCTCCTGTTCACAAATCGGTGGTTGCCATGTCAGCGATCCATGATTGTGGCTTCAAACTCATTGACCATCCCCCTTATTCACCCGATTTGGCCCCGTCAGACTTCCACCTGTTTCCCAAAATGAAAAAGGAACTAGCCGATCGCCAATTTCCTAGTAATGATGACGTCATTTCCGCTGTGAATGACTTTTTTAGGGTGGCTGAAGAAAATTTCTTCTTGACCGGCATCCAGGCCTTGCAGCATCGCTGGCAAAAGTGTGTAAACCTGGAAGGGGGCTATGTGGAGAAATAAATGAAAACCATCGACTTGGTACGGGTCTTTCACAGTTAGGCTTAGAACTTTTCAGCCAGCCTTCGTATCTCTATGTTTTCCAGTATTTTTAGCATTAAGACGGCTCATAAGTTAGTTAGAACATTCCTCCTTGGTTTTGGTTAGAAATATCAAACCTTGACCTTGGAAAAAGCTAACGGTTGAGGTTTTATATTTTTAAACTAAAACCAAGGAACAGTGTTACTATTAACATATTAACTTGATTGGTCTGATTTGTGAAGTTGGGCTGTTATTGTTTTGCATCAAAATCCATTTATATTTGTTGAAGTTCTCATCAGGAAAAGACAATCTAAGATGGGTCTTTGCTAGTCATCTTGAGATCACTTCTGACCAAAGGACACAGTTCCAGATAATTGGCAATGCCAGATGCCACTTCTAAAGTGATCATGTTGCTGCAAACTAGCAAGACTGCTTATTGCAATAATCACGCAATCATGATTTTGACTGAGATACAACAATAACAAATGTGACCATGGAACAGATGCCACAGTCCATACTCTCCAGCTGATGTAATTACAGTGAGTTGTTAGATAATGGGTGAGTGAGTGAGTTGGGTTTGACGCCGCTTTTAACAGTATTCCAGTTATATCACGGCGTGTCAGCTTAATGTGTGAGGAAAGCCCGAATTGATGCAGGTCTCAGACATTTACCACTTTGGTGAAACCCACGAGCACGTGTATGGTGCTGACAAACCTAGAAACATAATCGGGGCGAACCAGGATTCGAACCCACAGCCACAGGTTTCTGGCGTGTCCAAGGGACGCAACTCTGCACAACGAATCACGGTGCCTTAGACGACTGAAGCACCCATGCCCCCTGTTAGATAATGGGATCTGTAAGTATGGCTTGATGCCTGTCATCAATATTCCTGCAATGACAAGGTGTGGGACACCACAATTTGGGCTGGGTCAGGTAGCTCGGTTGCCTGGGTCTGGAGGGTCCTCAGTAGGACCCGGGTACCCACAGGACTACCCGGACCTGTGGTTAGTGACGTAATATAGTGTTTAAATACAAAAACAATAAAAGTCACTCATGTTCGCATTTCTTTCTGACTATGCACAATTCCCAATTAGACGTTACATCCCAACTCTTAAGACCTACAGAGGGTAGGGTAGGGTAATAGGGCATTGAGTACCCAGGTCGTAAATTTTGACTCGTCCCAGCCCTAAACACAATACAGGTCATAACATGTACCCATGTGGGATTTAAACCCTGCATTGAGGTTGATGAGTGAGTGAGTGAGTTGGATTTGATGTCACTTTTAACAGAATTCTAGGTATATCATGATGTGTCAGCTTAAAGTAGGAGGAAAGCCCAAAGTTATGCAGGTCTCAGATGTTTAGCACTTGATGAAACCAATGGGTATGGTGCTAACAAGCCAAGAAACATAATCGGGTTGGTTTAAAACCAGTTTCAAATCTACACTTTTACTGCCACTAGAATGTAGCAACAGAATCATCTAGATGACATCCTGGGTGGTGGGTTTGATTCCCGGTTCGCCCCAATTATGTTTCTAGGTTTGTCAGCTACATGCTCATGCTCGTGGTTTTTTTCGAAAGTGATAAATGTCTGAGACCTGCATCACTTCAGGATTTCCTCCAACACTAAGCTGACACGAATTGATATGACTGGAATATGGTTAAAAACACTGTTAACCCCAACTCAGACACTGAAGCATCCTATCAAATTGAGGGTGTGGTGGTCACTGTGTGGCATGGGGACAGTACTACACCAACAAACAACATTAGATGTCAATAAACTCATACTCTTTCAATACCTCCCTCCTTTCTCTATGAGACTGACAAACAACAGGATCTGATGTAACATATATCAATACCATTTTATTGCATATTCATGAGTACACTTCTCAGTACAGTGACATGGTTGTATAGAACTTTATGTACATTGCGTATCTTCCATGTCCACCTGGCCTGATTGTCCAATGAAAGTGAGGGAAAGACACTGTGCAGGCTAGCTACAGTTGTAGACAACTTAAATAAGAGACACAAATGAGTAGATACAGACAGGTGAGACTGTCGATTGCAGGCCAGTTGCAAGAAACTTTTAATGGAAGGAGAATTAGGGTTTCAATACTGAATGTGAATATCTTAAATAAAAAATCATGAAATATTAAGGGAACCCAACTGATCATGTTGACCATGTCCAATAGACAATCAGTGAGACGTAACTTGCAACATCCTTTACAATCAGAGAGATTTTCCTTGCAACATTGTTTACCAGACAATCAAAGAGATGTCACTTGCAACAATTTCTTCACCAGACAATCAGTGAGATGTAACTAGCAACATTGTTTACCAGACAATCAAAGAGATGTAACTAGCAACATTGTTTACCAGACAATCAAAGAGATGTCACTTGCAACAATTTCTTCACCAGACAATCAGTGAGATGTAACTTGCAACATTGTTTACCAATCAGTGAATGGTCACTTGCAACATTATTTACCGGACAATCACCGAGACGTAACTTGCAACATCGTTTATCATTGAGACGTTCTGCACTATCTTAGCTTGTAGCCACACAGGAAAATAAACAACAGTTGTATTAAATAGGCTAAAGCCATCTCAGTGATTATCCACTGTTTGAATATCAACGACCAGTAACAAGTAGAGAGAACATACCATATTTCAGAAAGCATTAAGTTACTCAGATTATCACCAACCAACAGCTAAAACTGGAGTTTTCTTTCTTTATGCAGTATATTCATGTGAAAATGAGTATATTCATCACAAACCTAGGAGCATATAAAAAACGCAACAATGAAAATATTATGTTTTGCAAGAAGAGTACTATGCTGGACACACAGGGGAGACATTCCTAAGACAATTACATAAATGTCATGAGAATCTGAAGATATTTTCTGATATTTATGCTTCTGGGAAAATTCCATTTATACCAAACACGGACAATCTCATTCAGCTTCCCTTCAATTTGATACTTTGTTTGTGAAAATGCAATAAAATGTTTAATATTCAGTGTATATAGCTGACGTGGTTTGCGGTATGACAGACTAGAGTAGTTGAACAGAGGTCACAGGGTCCCACCTCTCAAATTCAGCCAACAATTAACTCACCAAACTCTACCAGTACAAGATCAAACACTTTCTAATAGCACTTTGGAGTTGAACTTGCAAAATTTTGATGAGTGGATAATTTTCTTGCACAAGGGAAATCTTAAAATGACAATTCTCAATAGAGGGAAGTGTTGTGTAGTTTACATTTGACTAGAATCAAAACACAAAATATGATAATAATAATAATATGCTTAGATTACATAATGCAGACAATAATAATAATAATGATAATATGCATGCACAATAATAAATTATGACGTGACGATATGGGTGCAAAATATTGCAGTAAGCTTACAAGGACAGTGATACAGATGTATGTCATGCCAGAGAAATATACACCTTCAGACGAGAGGCTCCGACTTCCATCAAGTAATAGAATGTACATACAAGCAAACATGAAGCAATGAGGACATCACAGAAACTACAGCTCTGCTTGCCGCATTGTTTATGAGTAAAACATCTTGTCAACATGATGTATAGAATATTTGTGGTACAACTCACAGACATAGCATTTATTTTTCATTCTTATATTTGTATAAAACTTTAACAAAGTGTGAAAATAATAACAAAAAGGTGCTAAAATGATGAGGACTTCATAAAGGAGTTATCTACCTTTGACCAACATAAAGAGACATTAAGTATAGGGGGAGTTCAGCCTGGACCCCTAGACTGGTCAGTGTCCAGGAGGCACTGTCTGTACCCCACAAGTACTTTACCTCAGACAATCAGCGGACAGTAGGATTGCACAAGTTCACTGAATGAAATGAAACACTGTTAGATTGGGGCTACTTCAAATGTTGTCAACAGTAACACGATGCAGTGTGTGTACAGTGTTCTGAATGGCTGCAACATCTGATGTCTACTGAATGGGACACAATGTCATAGCACTATACATCCTTGAGTTCCCTTTGCATCCTCACATTCCCACCCCTATCTATTCCTTAGCCCTCCCCCCAATGCTTCCTCATATTTCACCCTATCCCAAAAGATACCACACTATATCCCCACCTCTAAACATTCCCAGCCCCACCCTACACATTTTCATGTTCCGAGCCCCACCCCTTCACAATCTCATGTTCCCACCCCTACCTTTACACATTCCCAGCCCCACCCCCACACAATCTCATGTTCCCACCCCTACCTCTACACATTCCCAGCCCCACCCCCACACAATCTCATGTTCCCACCCCTACCTCTAAACATTCCCAGCCCCACCCCCACACAATCTCATGTTCCCACCCCTACCTCTACACATTCCCAGCCCCACCCCCACACAATCTCATGTTCCCACCCCTACCTCTACACATTCCCAGCCCCACCCACCCACAATCTCATGTTCCCACCCCTACCTCTAAACATTCCCAGCCCCACCCTACACATTCCCAGCCCCACCCCTATACATTCTCATGTTCCCATCCCTACCCTTACACATTCCCACCGCACCTCTACCCATTCTCACCCCAGCCCCACCCTACACATTCTCATGTTCCCATCCCATTCTCATATATACCTAGTCCCCACTCCTACACATTCTCTATTTCCCCCCCCCCCCCCCCCGCCCTCCTCTTTCTGCCCCACCCCCAAGGTAATACTGCCTGGTAGGATGAATCTACTGAGCATTGCCGAGACATGATACAGGGTGGTGGGCACCCTCAGACAGATTTTAGAGAGACATTGTATAAAGACTGCACATTTCCACAGCTTCAAGAACCGTATCTCACAGGCAACTGTGAGTTAATAGTCCATACGACTTATGTACAATAAAAGGGTCCAGAAATGCATGTAACTATGCATACAATATAGAATCCATTTCCGTTATGAGGGAATAAAAGAGGTCTTTCCCAAATTGACATATATATTTACAAAGTTATGAATTTAACCACAGTAAAATAAATTTCCTTTCAAATAAATGATATAATTCAACATGTTTAAAATAACAAAGTCTTTGTTTGCCCAAATCCCCTACAATACAAAGTAATAACTGGCTGTGTCTCCAGGATATGAGAGCCCAAACCTTCCATGTGTGCGTGCCTCCTCTCTCGATATTGATTGCTGTGTGGTGAACATGTCACTCCTTACTGGGCATGTAATCTAGCAGATTAAAGCTTAGCACGGCCAGGGAAATCAATACACAATTTTCCCTGGTGATTATCCTCGGCTTAACCTAATCCTCTGAGAAGATCTGCAGTGCGGCATTGTTCGTCAATCCCAGAACTACAGACATAAAAGCTACCATTGATCTTTCACGTATCAAAGAGAGGCTTACCTCTGCAATCAATATCGGCCTGTCAGTGGTGACACACATTTCAAATTTGGCTTTGTTTGTTTAAGAAAAAAATATGGATTTGCAGAAGTTACCACAAAAACATTGTAATGACTGGAAACTTTAAAAAGCAAGGGTCTTTGATCTCTGATTGCGTACGTAAGACACAAACATGATGAAGAGTTGTTATTCCCTAATGCTTATGTGAAGAAAATCTGTAATGTCCCATCTCAGATAGGTCAGTATTTGGACAGATGTTTTTATTTCTAACTGCCCTGGCCAGTCCTACTGTTTCCTGATAGTCAAGGTTAGTATTTGGTCCAATACTGTAATAATTTCTAATGGTAGTTTTCTGAGTCATATCGTTTCTGATAGTCAAAAAGCTTGCGTAGAGTACAAAATCTAATTTAACATAATACAAAATAACAGCAACAAACAACAGATCTAGTGATCCAACCAAAATAACAGGTGGTGAGTACCGATAATATGCTGATGATATTGTTATTGCACTCCGACATCCAATAGAGAACCACACCATAGAAGTCCACCCAGCTACCCTCAACAGTTCCAAACTGATGCCAGATCTTCATCCCTAGCCCACATCTCCCTAACTAATTTTAGTTTCGTATTTTCCTTTTGAGCGCTTTCCTTTTGAAGTGGTAATATAGTTATGGGGATAGTGCTATTGAGGTGTGATAGTCAGTCATATTGGAGATATTTCATACACTGACATTCAACTTCAAACCAGGGGATGCAAGTCGAAACAGAAATATTTCAAACTCGTATCTTTACAGCTCAAATTGTTTAACATTACAAGCTAGACAATAGGTACATTCAAGACACAAAACATTATAGAAAGATGGGTGGGACGACGAGGAAGTAGCAGGATGACTCCAACACAATGGTTCCTGGAGCAAAACGATGATACTTGCAGTGAGATGGTGACACGCACGCACTCACACACTCAGACACATACACCATTCACACACAAATATTTAGTTACCAAACGTAGGTATCAAATGTTATAAATGTAAGAACAAAATTAACACATGTAACATCTGGTGAGATGTTAAGTAATTCTCCTCTTGATGAGTACTGATCAGTTTAAGTGTACGATGAGATATGTTGCAGACATGACACAGTGCGGATGTACGTGGACAGTGCTTGGAGTGGGTACAAAATGAACATTTTATGGACTTAATGGAAACAAACACACTTAATTAGTTTCGACCAAATTGTCAACTCCTTATATTAGTCTAGAGAACTTTTACCCAGAAACAGAATGGGAGTTGGGTGGCGCAAGAATTAAAAAATAATTCAGACATGAAATACTTAAACCAACAGGGCCCCTGTTCCGCAGAGCAGCATGAGTTCACAAGTCTATGTTAAACTAGGAGATTGATGATAGTTGTTGCAGTATGACTGCTGTATATCTAAGTACTAGGCTTATGACTGTCAGACTGAAACACTGTCGGAAGTCCCGTGAAACAATGGAAGTTATGACATCCAAGCACTTCTGTGAAACATGATTGAGGGCAGTACCCTAAATTACTCAGTAAATGAATCTCGCTTTCACATATCCATGCCAGTTAAGGCAGATGATTTTTAAATGGACCATATTGCCAGTGCAGATGGGTCACTATCGATATTATATTATTTACGTGGAAATAGAGATTTATATTATTTTTTTTATGTCGCCTGATATTTAGCACAGAATCAATGGTTGTATTACACGAGGCACTGGTCACAGTAACATTATCTCATGAGCTGTTTGGCACAATCTATAGTAAATACACTGACCCTGTTCAGATACCAACACACAAATCAAATGAGAGATTAAGTAGAATAATATCACTGACAGCAACATCATCAGTTCGACTATAATATCATTATTCATGTTACTTGTGCGATCATACCAACAGACAATAACAATGGAAGCAAACCATAGCATGGATCATATATCTGCTATAACATCTGCTGCCTCCAGCATGTAGTATTTATTGCTAACACTTATATTCCACCCCATCTCCCAGTCAACAACAAGGGGAGACAACTCACATCACGTTAAACCTACAATCAATCTGCCAAGTAAGCATGCCATGAGCCAAACATCTTAGAGCTGAAGCTTCATCTCAAGTATATACTGGAAATTCAGTGACAGCAAAGAGCACTTGATTCTGATTGGTCAAAACAAGATAAAAATCATTCGTTTCAAATAAATATAAGAGGTATCTACAGTTAGACATCCTCAAATTTAAAACAAAAAACAGGTTTACTACATAATTAGATCCAATTAAATAATGACTTCACATTCATCATTTATCAAGAATTTCATAACTAAATTGATTTCAGTTCTTTTACACAAAAGATATTACAGGGCTGCAGTTCAAGTCACAGGGATCGGTGTTCATCACAGCATGGAGGTGGCTGGAAGAATGGTTAGATGTCAGATTGACTGCACGTTCAACGTCATAATCTCAAGAGAGACTGGCCTCTTGACGAATAGAATAATCTCAAGTGAGACTGGTCTTTTGACCAATAGGATGGAAGAACACAATACTGTCCAAATCATGCACTAAGACGCATACGTTTAACTTTGGCCCGGTGGTTCTTAAACCACAGCTGGACATTCTTGGGTTCGAGACGAGGGAACTTGGCCCGATACTCGGATCTGTTCAGTTCCTCACAGTATTTATCAATCATGTACGCCGAGGGATGCGTGTCCTCAAGGAACCACTTCTCCAGTTTGGGGATCTCTGTGAGGGGGTCGATGAAGACCCGCGTGCGACGCTTCCTTGTCTCATGATGCTTGTGGGGCGAGTTGTGGGGCGGGGGGCCATGAGGTAAAGAGTTTGACTGGGGGGAGTAAAAGCGTGCATTCACCGGGTAGTAGGTCATGAGAGGGGGAGGTAACTGGGGCACATGTAGTGGCTGGGCCATCTGGGCAAGAGAGAGAGCAGCCATATTGGCTGCGCTCGAGTTGGCAACCGACACTGGCATCATCATCGCGTTGCGGTAGTCGTGTTCACTTTCATGCTCCTTCTTCAACATAGAGATAGGCTCGTCACCAGAGACGCTCACTTCTGACATGTCGTCACCAGACTCGTACTCGTCGTCATCGACATCATCCTGGTCCATGTCCTCTATCTTGTCGTCGTCATGGTTGTTGTTGTAGGTGTCCACTTCCAGTTCCTGTTTCTGACTACTCTCCACACTACTCTGCACAGAGCCATTCATACAAGGATAGCTCATGTCACTCTTAACTTCAGTCTCAGGCTCATTCTGACAAGAATCAGGCGTTTCACGTTTAATGGTCGCCTCGTAAGGACTGTGTGCCATATTCATGTTATTACCATTGAACGACTTCATTGGTACAATACTGTCTTGTACTGGCTGTGATTTCTCCTGGGGTTCTGGGACCTCTTCCTCTCGTTTCTTAGCAACCGAGAGGTCACAGGGTTCATCGGCTTGTCCATCTGAGGGCATGATGTGGGAATTGAAAGGAAACGGAATCATATACACAGCATTTTTATTTGGAAGATAGGGGATACTTGAGGGAGCCACATCACCGTTTTCCTCATTCTCAAAAGAATCATCCATAGCTTTTGACGCCCTTCTCTGAGCAGCTCGGGCATTCTTGAACCAATAAATGATGTTGGTAAGGTCAAGGGGTCTCCTGCCCTTCCTTGAATCTAGGGAGTTGAGTTCATTCATGTACTGAATCATCTGCTCCCTTGATGGATGCTGGTTGTCCTGGAACCACTTCTGAAGCCTCGGGATCTCGTGTTCCGGGTCAAACGATGTGCGGATGCGTGTCCGGCAGTGATTGAACAGCGGTGACGTTGTATGGTTCTCCTTGGACTCGGATGATGGGATGACGGGACTGGCCGGTTTGACTGGCTCCATCAACTTGTCACTGTCAACAGACTTCTGCTGCTGCTGCTGCTGCTGTTGCTGTTGCTGTTGCTGCATCAATGGAGGCGGGCGCTGCCTTCTCGTCAACTGGTCCCGGTACCACTTGTCAAATGCACTCAGTACTTCATCTGATAGGCTGTCAGGTTTCTCGCCACGGGACAGTGACGACAGTAGTGTCTGGAAAAGAAGATTAATGCTGAATACATTGTTACAGATTCACTATTTTATCCATATTTAAGTATATCCTGATAAAGCTTTGAATTATTTGAAATACATTTACAAATTGTTTACATTTGAACGAATTGGCTTTCTCGTTGTAGGAACTTGGAAGCAGAGGCATCAGTGAGAGAGTTGGGTTTAGCAGATTCAAAACAGTATGTCACCTGCATCATTCCTTGTCAGCAAACTATGGGGGCATTTTTGAATACTTAAACAAGCATGTGCCAAAAAATGGAAAGCTGCCCATAAACAAGACATTTATACTTTATTTTCAGCTCTGATGTTAAGTTCATCATCCTTCAGTGTAAATATTGAGAATGAAGTCGTATCCTAAATCTGATTTAAATACTTCCTTTTCAGAATAAAACAATGTCCATTGTGGCTAAAACAAGGTCAGACAAATACCATATCCCTATTACTGCTTTCAAGATTGATTGTTTTGGGCGATAACATTATACTAATACAGAAGAGGGTCACTAGTGAACACCGGCAGGCTCTCAGGACAGATACATTCAGCTGTGCCAGACATGTTTTTTTCTGACATGATAGGATCAAGGATGTGGCGTTTATAAATTAGGAAATTTATTTTCTCGCCTGATGTAATGTTAGATGCACAGATGTAAAAGGTAAAACTGTGAAAGTTGCACCATACATTTCCGAGAAGGTATGCATTCCGATTCAACGTAGTTTCACCTAAATATACTACACAGCATATGGTAAGGAAACTGAGCATATTTCCTATTATTCCCGTAGTTCAAACTTGATATGATGCTGAAAAAACACCAGTACCATAGCAAAATAAAGTACTCTTCATATGAAAACGTATGAAAGTTGAGTGTGTTGGTCCCTACCTTCTCGATGGGGCATCCCGCCTCATTTAGCAGCCCCTGTGAGTGAGACAGCAGGAGCTGCAGGAGCTTATCTTTTATTTCCTCGGCCGTGCTTGCTTTGGGTGGACTGCAAGACGAAACAAATCGGTCAACACGCAAAACTACCGCAGCGGACAAACATCGGACATACGCCATGTACAACTGGAGAGGAAGAAGTCCAGGGTGACTGGGATCCTGGAGGGGGGAGTAAGGGGAGAGTTTGAATCTGTACCCATTTTTTTAACATTTGCAGCTGGTACCTACGACAGGTAGAAACAATCATGATCTGTGGAGGATGGTCGGGGCAAGGTGATTGGGAGTGTTGTGGTTTTCATGAAAATCTGGTGAAAAATAACTGAGCCATCCTGATCATTTCAGATGAATCTCCTCATAGCCCATGTACAAAAATACTGACCCCTTCTGAACCTCCCTCCCAAGGTTCCAAATTTTGGCAAGGATATATTGGGAGGAATTCACAAATTATGACAGTCCTTGTGAGATCGGTACAAATGAAATACTAAGCAGCACGTCGCTACCAGATACTTATTTAGTGTTTAAGGAAAGCAAAAAACAAAGATTGACGGTCCTGGTCCACTTTCAAGTCTAGGTTAATGTTATAAAGGGACTACGAAGGGTTATCTTTCAAAAAGTTAATTTCACGTACACAATAAAAAACATGCCAGGAATGCATTAGTTTCTTTGTAACTCTTCATGTGAGGCCATACATTTTTTTGTTTGGTTCATGGATCCACTGACATTTAAATTTGAAAATTCAGATGAATAAAAAAAATCAGAATGAGAAGGTTTTTTCTATACAACTGATGCTAAAGCTCGCTTAAAATGACAATGAAATGCCTTAAACAATTTCATAAACCCTGTAAAATGCATTGTATTTTTTTTTTTGTCCTACTAACCAAATTCTGGGTTAAGTGTTTGAAATAATATAACAATGGAGATCACTTACTCAAAAAAAAAAATCCTTGCTGTCATTGCATTTTTGTCAGTGATTATTGTAGCTGGTGTGTCTAAAATATAGTTCCACCATCCAGTACTTCCCCGATACTTGTCCCTGTCTCGTGACAGACACAACTAATACTGGAGACACTACAGCAGTAGAGTGCAGGCTGACTGCTGGCATCTAGGCATCACCATGTTGTCAATACAGATTTACAGTTTACTCCAGGGATTTATGCTAGAAGTGATCTAATCCTTCAATGTGCTCAACTTCCGAGTCAGTAAATGTAGATTCGTGACGACATCATTAACTCCAGTTTCCACAAGGAACACAGAGTAGCCAGAGCTTGTTATATGATTTTGTTTATTTGTTTGTTGTTTAATGCTGCACTCAGCAATATTCCAGCTATATGACTGTGGTCTGTAAATTATTGAGTCTGGACCAGACAATCCAGTGATTGATATCATGAGCATGGATCTACGCAACTTGGATCGATGACATGCATTAACAAGTCAGCAAGCCTGACTTCTCGATCCCGTTAGTCGCCTCTTACGACAAGCATAGTCAACTTTTACAGCAAGCTTGGATTGCTAAAGACCTATTCTCTACCCGGATCGACCCTTCACGGGTGGCTTGTTATATGATGTTATAGATACTGATCAATAGCTGGCAGAGTTAACAGTTATCTGGGGTGAGTGAGTCACTGTAAATTATCAAGTCTGGAGTAGGTAAACCATTGGATGACATCATGAGCACCTATTCCACCGTCATGGCATGATGACGAACAATCAGTATTGCAAATCTTAAAATCGTCTGCAAAACTGCATGATTCATACACCTTTCATGCTCATCTAAGCATTTCTGAATCACAGGTATATGTAATATTCACACTATCTTTGCTCAGATATTTAACAATCATCTTGAATTCCTACATTCCTACACAAACAGACCCACACAACCACAACCACACCCAAGGGAGATAACTCTAAAGTCCTACCTTGCTAAGCGAATTCTGAGAGTGGCAACATTTGTGAGTTCACTGAGAATATCATCCACAGTGGACTGGGGACCGTCGGTAATGGCATCAAATGTTAGTGGTTTCCAGTTCTTGATCTGAATGGCACCTGAAAAGTAAACAGGTATGGGACAATGAGAGACTATAATGGGAGTCTGCCATTACATGACAAGAAAATTCTCTGGTAACTGAGTGACGACCATTCTGCAGGGGATTAAGCTGGCCATCACCAGATGATGTACAAGAAAAGCACGACAGGAAAGTAGAGTATATAGTAGACTAAACTTAGGCTTCGAAAATATTTTATTTTGATAGAAACAAGCAGCTACATATATATATTGAAAAGGACCCAAGTGAGATGGGAGATTCCAAACCTGTGCAAAGTCTAGGGTTGCTTCTTCATTTAGGGCTATGTCAATACAGTACGGGCTGGGTGGAAGGGAAAATAATATGGTTCAGAGGCTGTGAGACAGACCAGGTATACAGTGTTGTGCCAAGTCTACCCTGCGATAGTGGTCTGTGGTTACTCAGGGTTCTGAACATCCTCAAGAACATTTGGTTGTTATTGCAAAAATCTGACATGTTCATGATGCTGATTAGCACTAAATATCAATGATTAATAAATCAAGCTTACATTATATTTAATAAAAAGGCAGGATTGTTATAGATCATAGGTTCACGTGTATTGTGGAGAATGGTGGGGTAGGGGCGGAGGGTTTTGGGGGTGAGGCAGGTTTGGGATGGGAGTAGGGTGTGTGGTATGGGGTGGGGAAAGAAACAATTGTGGGTGGGGTGGAGACTGGTATGGGGTGGGGTAGAGAATAGTGTGAGGTGGATTTAGGGCAGGAAGTGTATGGTGTGTTTGTGGGGTGGGATTAGGGGTGGCAGTATGTGTGGTGTGGGGTGGCAGTGTGTGTGGTGGGATGGGGAGGGGTGGGATGGGGTGGTATTAAGGTGTGGCAATGTGTGGTGTGGGGTGGGATTAGGGTTGGCAATGTGTGGTGTGGGGTGGGATTCGGGGTTGAGTGTGTGGTGTGGGGTAGCATTAGGGGTGGTAGTGCTTGCTGTGGGATGGGATTAGGGGTGGCAATGTGTGGTTTGGGGTGGGATTAGGGGTGGCAGTGTGTGGGGGGATTAGGGGTGGAGTGGATGGTGTTGGGTGGCAGGGTATGGAGTGGGAATGGGAATAGGAGTGGGAATGGGAATAGGGGTGGTAGTGTGTGGGGTGTGATGGGGTGGGTTGTGATTAGGGGTGGAGTGTCTGGTATTGGGTGGGATTAGGGGTGGTAGTGTGTGGGGTAGGGTAGGATTAAGGGTGGTAGTGCTTGCTGTGGGATGGGATTAGGGGTGGCAGTGTGTGGTTTGGGGTGGGATTAGGGGTGGCAGTGTGTGGGGGGATTAGGGGTGGAGTGTATGGTGTTTGGTGGCAGGGTATGGAGTGGGAATGGGAATAGGGGTGGTAGTGTGGTGGGGTGTGGTGTGATTAGAGGTGGTAGTGTGTGGGGTGGGGTAGGATTAAGGGTGACATACAGGTGGTCTGGGACAAGACACAGGTGTGGGTGGTTCAGTGAGTGATATGGTGTACATACCTTTTGCATTCATGGCATCTGTAGCAGAGTAGCCAAGCTTGAGTAGTGCAGTGCGGACCAGATCACCCAGCAGTGTTGAGCAGGGCAGGATGGCATAGCTATCCAGCTCAACCTGACTCCCGGTGCATGTGGAACTTGTCACCCCAGTAAAAGACGGCACACCTGATATCTGTTCCACTAGACAGTGAATTGGTAGTGACTTTCCGGACCCTGCAAAAAAAATTACTCAAACATAGAGCAAAGCAGACTGTACAGGCTCTGACTTAGCAGACATAAGAAGACACATGGAAGATCATTTCTGTGTTGATTAGAAGCAACAGTTCTGTCAAATAGTCAATGTTAACATTTCCAGAGATCTTGCTTGATCTTTCTATCATCTCCACTTGTACACTCCCCTCCATGAAGGGCTATGGGTGATAGGAAGAATAACCCACTGTATGCAACTCGCAATTATGGATTATTTGTGTCTCGTGAATTAACGTCGAAGATCCTCTTAATTGCTTGGAACTTACGTAATTATTTCACCCGGGACAGATAATGATCAATTCTCTGTTGCTAACAGGTTATTCTCTAAGTATACATGGTAGGATGCTGCTTTGATGCAGATGCCAACTCCAATGCATTGTCCGACAGAAATCGTCAAAAGCTAAAAATGAAACAGTATAAATGGAAGTTATATATGGGCAGTGACAAATACACTTCAACATTGTAAGTCAGGAACTGTACCTTCGACATACTGTTAACTACGTTTATAACGAACACGCTTATAACGAACTGATGGATATAACAAACTGTTTTTGGGGGGGTCCGTTCCATTTGCTGTATATATGCTGTAAATGTGCTTATAACGAACTACGATTATAACAAACTAAATTTAGTGGTCCCTTTGAGTTTGTAATAACCGTAGTTTACTGTACCCAAAACCAATATTTTTTCTTGTGCCTTGTTTTTTGGACAAAGTAGTCCCAATTCACTGATGTATAGATACATTTACACCTGACAATATGAATCATGATACATCTACACAAGTCCCAATGCTATATCAATTATCAAAAAGAAATAATAATGAAGATTAGCAATTAGCTCGGCCTGCTATCTGCTCAGACTAGAATCACCTTCCTGCCTGTCATGGAAGAAAATGCTAAATCTGCCATAACAATACCAGCAGTATGAGCAAGGATCATGAAAGTTTGAAATGATGACTTCATGTATCATACAGTGCCACAATTATGGTGACTGTGTGTGGTAGTCATACCCTGACACCTTACAAGTAGATCCACCAAACAGCATACAGAAACACTGACATGGATATCCAAACACAAAAATTACACAAATCAACTTAGAATATTTATACCAAACTCAATGCAGACTAACAACACACTTGACACAGACTCACAATAAACTCTACAGAGACGCACTAGACACTCTACATACACTCACTACACACTCTACATACAGACTCACTACACACTCTACATACAGACTCACAACACACTCTACATACAGACTCACTACACACTCTACATACAGACTCACTACACACTCTACATACAGACTCACTACACACTCTACATACAGACTCACAACACACTCTACATACACTCACTACACACTACATACAGACTCACTACACACTCTACATACAGACTCACTACACACTCTACATACAGACTCACTACACACTCTACATACAGACTCACTACACACTCTACATACAGACTCACAACACTCTACATACAGACTCACTACACACTCTACATACAGACTCACTACACACTCTACATACAGACTCACAACACACTCTACATACAGACTCACTACACACTCTACATACACTCACTACACACCACATACACACCACATACAGACTCACTACACACTCTACATACAGACTCACTACACACTCTACATACAGACTCACTAAACACTCTACATACAGACTCACAACACACTCTACATGGACAGTTTTGTGCCAATTTTTATCTAATTACTCCCCTGTTTCTCCGTCGATGTCCATGGCATCAGTCCGGTACCAAGTCACAAATAATCCTACATCTCCTACTTCATGTTTACACATTGTATCTCAGTAAAGTTCAAGGAAGAACAAAAAGACGTCATTGAGACATCACCTTTATGTGTGAAATACGTATGTCATAAATTCTACAAGCTGAGAAAATGAAAGATTAACTGTAATAAACATTTTTCTATCTAGTCTGGCTGATACCATGTGAATCATGCTATAGCATGGCAGGCTGTGAGGGATCGAGGGAATGAGTCAAATAAAATTCTTAACAGCATTTCTGTCACCTTAACCGTATGGGAGGTAAAATGATGCTTAATGTCGCCTTCAAGATTATTGTACGTATGTAGTGACGTGTGTGTGTGTGCTTGTTTGCGTGGGAGCTTGTATTAGTCTGAACTAATGCTGGCTTTAAGGCGCTAGTAGTAGTAGTAGTAGTAGTAGTAGTAGTAGTAGTAGTAGTAGTAGTAGTAGTTTGTTTGTTCGTTGTTTAATGCCACACTCAGCAATATTCCAGCTATGTGACGGCAGTCTGTAAATAATCGAGTCTGGACCAGACAATCCAGTGACTGACATCATAAGCATCGATCCACGTAATTGGGATACGATGACAAGCATCAACCAAGAAAGCGAGCATGGCTACCCATTCCTGTTAGTCACCTCTTATGACAAGCAAAGTCACCCTTTACGGCAAACATGTGTTGCTGAAAACCTATTCTACCCCAGATCTTCATGGGTCAGTAGTAGTACTAGTAGATGTGATATGGCTGTGATGTAGACATGATGTAGACGTGATATGGCTGTAATATTGCTGATCACAACTTTCAAATCTTCCAATATACTTATTCAAATCGGAGCCATAAACATCTCTTATCACATGTAGTAGTCCCTGCCAACAATTTAGTCTCCTAGTACGAAACTGACTCCTCTTCAGTACATTTTAATGTTATCAGATGGTATTTTATTAGCTGATCTAACTAGACCGAACATAATTTTACAAGACTCGGGCTTCAGACCAGTGACTGAAGTTGCCGACTGACATAGTTAAAAAAAACCAATATATTAAAAAAAAATATATATAAAAAATATCAAAAGCAGTATTTAAGAAACAAAACATGTACTGACCAAAAGTATTTCCAGTTTTGTATCCAAAGTGTCTGTAAAATGGCGACAAGCAGACAGGAGGATACATTTCTAGCCTGTCGTTCCCCGGTAATCTACCTCTCCATAATGACATATCCTACACATTGACCAACACCACAATACTGCTTGACACACACCTGCACTCAACTATATCAGTCATCAAAGTATACATCTAGTCTAAGGAACTGCAAAATGAAACAAAATGAAATTTCTCCATTTTACTGCAAGAGGAAGCGTCATCGGCAACAACAAAGGCCGGAGTACAAGCTATGCTGATCAATCTAACTGTTAAAGGAGAGTTTACCCTTCATTACCTGTGGATCAAGCCACAACAAAGAGTGTCTCGTCAGGAGTCTGCCCGCGGAGCACGTTCAGCACCGACCTGGCTGTATACAATCATTCAACTGACCCTGCATCAAACAGGGCACGTCCTCAGTTAATGCTAATGAATGACAAACACTGTAATCTGCTGCTTGTATTCCCTGTGTTAATTTGTCTGTCCACAGTTGTTACCTGTGTCTCTTAAGCATTAAACGCTTGCTTTGCGTCTGTAGAAACACGCCAGAATCTTTTTTGTTTAAAATGAAACATGTTCCATCTTTGTTGCTATTTGTCTATGAACAAAATAACCATCATGCTATATGCCTGTTGAATGGGTTTGACAGTAGCAGCATGGCTTGTGACACACTCTGTCGCATAGGTACCACAGAAGCACTGAGAGCTTTAATGACCTGAACAATTTACATTCTTATTTTACTGATTTATCTAGTCATAATACCAATATAAAATTATTTCAGTACATTTGATGTCAATTTCTTCAAATAAAATGATAAAAATCAAATGAAAATATGTTTAAAAAAACACTTTTTCAATTAAAAACAGTCTCTTAAATTTTTTAATTTATTATTTAATAACTACTTAGGGTAAGATCACCAATACAAACATAAATAAGTCTGACCTAATTGTAAATTAACTTATCACATATGCCATTTCTCCAACAAAAGTCTGACGTGTAAGTGCAGTAACTTCAAACATGGTATGTGTTTCGTATTTTGATCACATCAAACAATGTTTGCTTCCTGGTCTGCAACAGTTCACATATACAATAGAAATCCAATTGAAGAAACAATTAACATCCTGTGTCATTAAGAACTAATCATAACCTCCTTGAGTCCAACAATTCTGAATCTACACATCAATTAACTCCAGGACAGACCAATGTAATTACTCCAAAACACATTGAGCCAAATTCTATACTTTCAGGGCTGAATAGACACTGAAAAATAGATAACCCAATAATTCAGAATAAAACTTGATTCTTTCCCAAAATTCAAAAACACAAAAATTCACACCGAAACAAATGAAATATTCATACTTTCATTAATTAGTGTTTCATCCCAGGTATTTTTTACTCTTAAACACCATGAGCAGGCTCATTTTTAAGAGGTTTAATACTTGTTCTCCCCTTACAATAATATCATGCAAATATATGATTATGACTATGACGATATGTAGAATGTATTTCAATCTAAGAAGAGCAAGACACTTGTGGTCCTTCTACAGCCGTCTTCCTACAGGGCCCTCTTCCTGTCCTATCCCGCCAGTACTATGATCAGCGGTGCCTACGCCAGACTTACGCCAGCAGTTCTACTCATTGTGTTAATCCTAGTTGTGGCTGCATAATAATAATGAGAAATAGATAACATTAGGATTAGGAGAAAATAACACATCATAAGAAAAGTTGTCGCACAGCAATTTCTCATTCTGATAAATGAGTGGAGAAAAAAATCCTGAACTGAAGTTTAGAACAGTTTTTTATAGAAAATGCCAGAGTAGGCTCTTTGTAAGGTAATAGGATTTGAATCAGTGGCGGTTATCGTTGATATTTGAAATAGCGAGGTAATCCTGGCTAAGACCGTCAGTAATGAGGCGTACGACAAAGCCCTCCACTAATTCCACAATTATTACATTTTATCCTCAGAAGCCTCCAAATTTGCAGGGTCTTATCCACCTTAATTCCGGGGATCTATTTCTCATTTCACCAGCTTCAAAAACTTTCCAAAACCATTGCAAAACAAATATTTATTTTAGATACACCACGGTTAGGGGAGATTAGTCTATCTATCAAAGAGGGACGAAGCTCTACGTTCCTAACTTGGTCTTGCAATCTTTCATGTCCTTTAAACGAAAGCCCTGCATTCTTGTCAGAATATAGTAAGAAAACGTAGTGACACTTTCCCCTTGGGAATTCTTGCATGTGCATTAGCCTAAATCAAAGATAAATGAAGAGACTGCACGTTCGCTGACAAAGTATATTTGCTGAAAACATAGGTGACGATGAAGATCGGCAAGGACTTAGTCGTGGGGATCCACCCCTTCCATGTAGGACTCGTAGTCATGTTGCAGCATTATTGGCCTAGCTTTAACATTTAGATTCACATTCTCCAGGTTAAGGTCTGAATGGTGAAATGTGGCTAGAATTCCCATCCAGGCATGTATGGAGGGAGACAACAAATACGACAACCCCACTGACTTAGGTTTCTTTAACATTCAAATTCAAGCAGTTGTACCTACCAAACCTACACGTTTCTACATTGTAATACTCTGACTGTTGTAGATGAATGTCTTTTCTGACTTTTGTGACCTATCGCATAGCATGCTAGAGGCAAGGATAAAAGCATGTGCTATCTATATTTGATATCTAAAGCTAAGATTTACTGGCTTATTCAAACTCATTCTACATTTCTTAATACGTGTTATGGTTTGAAAAAAATAACGAAAATCAAACTGTTTGAACTTCTCCCATATATCTCGTTGTCTTAATGTAGACGCATATCGATGATTGAAATGTAAAAGTATTGATTTTGTTGTTTAATGCACCACTCAGTACTATTTCAGGTACTAAGTCTGAATACCTGATCCATTTAGTTGCCTCTTATGTTTGTTTGTTGTTTAATGCCTCACTCAGCAATATTCCAGCTATATGACGGCGGTCTGTAAATAATAGAGTCTGGACCAGACAATCCAGTGATTGATATCATGAGCATTGATCCACACAACTGGGATACGATGACATGCATCAACCAAGTCAGCAGGCCTGACCACCCGATACCGTTAGTCGCCTCTTGTCAAAATAACAAGTTAACATTCATTTTATCACTTACTTTTCTCTTCCTTTTGATCCCAGAAACACCTTGTTTGTATCAGAAAAAGTTGACAAATAAGAGAAGGTTACTCCCTGAGTAACTATCGCAATACTAGTGCAATAGCTGTGGTTATATTTCCATGTAGTATCACAATAGGGGTTTTAGCTATCGCAATACTAGTGCCAAAGCTGTAGCCATACAAAGATAGTTAAAAATGCTATTTCAGTATAATCACAACACTACTGCAACAGCAGCACCTATATAACAATAGTACTACAATAGTAGATTTTAACTCTCGCAATACTCCAGCCACAGTAAATTGTCCTCCTCGATGGTCCCACCAGCATCCTCAGGATATCAGTTGGTGAGGGGATACTGACAGCACAAAGCCATCCCATTAGTTCAGACAGCGCAATATATGTTGTTATTTCTCTTTGAAATGTGTTACAAAGAACAATATTATAAGACCTACCGTATTCGACGTAATAAGCGCCCCGCTCTAATAAGCGCCCACGGCGATATTTGCTAATATATTGGCTAGTGAACAATCCCAATCAGCACCCCTTTCGATTGATCAATGTACACAGGACTTATTTATTTGTGTATAATACGCACTCGTGTGTTATATTACCCTTAATTATGGGCAATTAAATTCTTGAAAAATATATCTGTTGTATGTAAACACTTCAGGCTGTTAGCATAAACCACTAATTTACGATCTTTCAACTCAAAATAATATTCTAATAAGCACCCCCTATTTCTAATTTTGAGAGCGCCCTGGGCGCTTATGACGTTGAATACGGTATATCATCATCAGTCATGCTGATACGAAAAGCTTCTTGCCTCTGTCTTTAGATATCTCTGGGTATGAAACATCCCATGGGATGTTCAGTCAGGGCCAAACATACACAGGGCAGAACATACATTTAGTCTTTTTGTTGACTCAAGAATATATCGCAATCATAATGAGAAAAATAAATGAATGAACTTTGAAAATGACACACAATCAAGCCTACAAGTGACAAGGATCATCTATTTTCCTACAGCAGACTTACAATTATGGTGAACTTTTCTATACAAAACAGAAAAGAACAGTTTATAGAAGTGGACAGACACATGGGCAATATACCTGAGTCTGTGTCGGACGGCAAGTAGCAGGGGTGTGGGAACCGGATAGTGGAGTAGAGTTTATCATAGCTGTACATCAGACAGTCCATCTTCTCACTATGATCATGACACACAGCCGTAGGGTGTTTGTGGTAGAGCTGTCTCAAAGAATGTTCAGTCACAGTATAATCTTCACACAATGATCATGACAGAGAGCAGTGTGCTGTTTGTTTTAGAGTTGTCCTACTCAATGTTCAATCTCAGTATCTTCACACTACGACCATGTAGTGTAATGTTTGTTTAGAGTTGTCCTACTCAATGTTCAATCACAGTATCTTCACACTACGACCATGTAGTGTGATGTTTGTGGTAGAGCTATTCTTCTCAATGTTCAATCACAGTATCTTCACACTACGACCATGTAGTGTTGAGTTTGGTAGAGTTGCTCTTTTCACAGTATCTTCACACAATGATCACGTAGTGTGGTTCTTGCGGTAGAGTTGTTCATTTCACTGTTCAATCACAGTATCTTCACTCTACAATCATTTAGTGTAGTGTTGTGTATTAGTAATAGAGCCGTTCTTCTCAATGTCCAATAACAGAATCTCCAAACAAGTACAATGGCATAAGGTAGTGTGAAAGTGGAAGCATCACCAAGCTGTCCCCTCAGTGTTCAATCACAGCATCTTCACACCTGAAGCAGCATGCATGTGATGGAGCTGCGGAGCTGTCCAGGTAGACATCAGTGTACATCTATAACATTCACCTAGATAAAGGTACAACCTAGGTGCAGATTTGATCTTAAATCTGTCCTTCCAGCTGGGAGATGGGATAGCACTCAGCAGGAATTCCGTCACAAATGCTCATGATTCCATTGGCTTGAGAAATCTTCTTTCAAAGAAGCAACAGTAAACCTCTTCGGTGGCATTAAGTTAAAATTCGACTGCGATTGATCAGCTAGGCTTGTCAATGAGAATAATCCACCTGCTGCACGCCATACAGCTTTGCTGGCAAGCTCAGGTACCAGTGCTGGCCGTCTGTGACGTCCTCACAAATTGGACAATCTTTATTACATTATAATCTGATATATAGATATGATATTCCTTATGATGTATGGAGCATTGCCACAGCTTCGCAAGCTGCCACATACAACACTGGAAGACAATCAATGCCAAGATTTACTCCACTTTGTATGTCAAGTGTTTGTCTCACAACTGATTTCTTTCTGTATTTTCTTTCCAATTATTTGTTTAAATTATCAAAACAAATAAGAAAAGAACAAATTATAAACAGGGATGAGAATCTTCCACGGATCTGCAAATTTTAGTGACCAAAAGTTTGTTAAAATCTGATGGTTTCTCCCATAAACACCCCCAAATAATGATCCATGCTCCATTGCAAAGATGTTTCAGCTAAAAGGAAAATATCCACTCCAATCCCTGTACAACGTTAACTTTGTACCAATTGTTTCACATAGGATGTATAAGCTGTGTACTTTAGATGAATTTGCAGGGCACAGTGGTTAGTGTGTGTTTTTTCCACAGGATACAACTGTCAAAAGTAAGTTAGGAATCAACAATGAGGCTGGTGATTATTTCCCCCATTGATCATACACCATAAAGCCCAGGGCATTCTTTGATCCAATAGCCAGTCAATACCTCTACAAAGTACCTGCAACATATGGTTCCAATAATTCACCATAATTACATTTTAACTCCTGGGCACATATTGCAGACAACAACAGAGGAATTCTCCGTTATTACAGATTTTTTACACTGGTAATGGTGACAGTTTGTCATCTGCCCTGTCCATGACGAGTCATAATGGTCCAACTTAGCCCATTGTTAGCACCACCAGTGTAGTCTCTACCAGGTAACACACTGATAGTTGATCATGAATTGTTTCAACAGTATCACTAGAAAACCTGAATCAATCCTTCAAACTTCACCCAGCATGCAGCTGTTTGTACTGTGATGCAGAGGTGGTGGCACAGGAAGGTGTCACTGACTGCGTACTCAAGTCTCAGTCATATACATAGGTGTGTGTGATGGTGTGTGGAGGAATGTGTGATGGTGTGTAGAGAATGTGTGATGGTGTGTAGGGGTGTGTGATGGTGTGTAGAGAATGTGTGATGGTGTGTGGAGGAATGTGTTATGGTGTGTAGAGAATGTGTGATGGTGTGTAGGGGTGTGTGATGGTGTGTGGAAGAATGTGTGATGGTGTGTAGGGGTGTGTGATGGTGTGTGGAGGAATGTGTGATTGTGTGAAGAGAATGTGTGATGGTGTGTAGGGGTGTGATGGTGTGTGGAAGAATGTGTGATGGTGTGTAGGGGTGTGTGATGGTGTGTGGAAGAATGTGTGATGGTGTGTGGAAGAATGTGTGATGGTGTGTAGGGGTGTGTGATGGTGTGTGGAAGAATGTGTGATGGTGTGTGGAGGAATGTGTGATGGTGTGTAGGGGTTTGTGATGGTGTGTGGAGGAATGTGTGATGGTGTGTGGAGGAATGTGTGATGGTGTGTAGGGGTGTGTGATGGTGTGTGGAAGAATGTGTGATGGTGTGTGGAAGAATGTGTGATGGTGTGTGGAAGAATGTGTGATGGTGTGTGGAGGAATGTGTGATGGTGTGTAGGGGTGTGTGATAGTGTGTGGAGGAATGTGTAATGGTGTGTGGAGGAATGTGTGATGGTGTGTGGAGGAATGTGTGATGGTGTGTGGAAGAATGTGTGATGGTGTGTGGAGGAATGTGTGATGGTGTGTAGGGGTGTGTGATGGTGTGTGGAGGAATGTGTGATGGTGTGTGGAGGAATGTGTGATGGTGTGTAGGGGTGTGTGATGGTGTGTGGAAGAATGTGTGATGGTGTGTGGAAGAATGTGTGATGATGTGTAGGGGTGTGTGATGGTGTGTAGAGAATGTGTGATGGTGTGTAGGAGTGTGTGATGGTGTGTGGAAGAATGTGTGATGGTGTGTGGAAGAATGTGTGATGGTGTGTAGGGGTGTGTGATGGTGTGTAGAGAATGTGTGATGGTGTGTGGAGGAATGTGTGATGGTGTGTAGAGAATGTGTGATGGTGTGTAGAGAATGTGTGATGGTGTGTAGGGGTGTGTGATGGTGTGTGGAGGAATGTGTGATGGTGTGTAGAGAATGTGTGATGGTGTGTGTAGGAATGTGTGATGGTGTGTAGAGAATGTGTGATGGTGTGTGGAGGAATGTGTGATGGTGTGTAGAGAATGTGTGATGGTGTGTAGGGGTGTGATGGTGTGTGGAAGAAAGTGTGATGGTGTGTAGGGGTGTGTGATGGTGTGTGGAAGAATGTGTGATGGTGTGTGGAAGAATGTGTGATGGTGTGTAGGGGTGTGTGATGGTGTGTAGGGGTGTGTGATGGTGTGTGGAAGAATGTGTGATGGTGTGTGGAAGAATGTGTGATGGTGTGTAGGGGTTTGTGATGGTGTGTGGAGGAATGTGTGATGGTGTGTGGAGGAATGTGTGATGGTGTGTAGGGGTGTGTGATGGTGTGTGGAAGAATGTGTGATGGTGTGTGGAGGGATGTGTGATGGTGTGTGGAAGAATGTGTGATGGTGTGTGGAGGAATGTGTGATGGTGTGTAGGGGTGTGTGATGGTGTGTGGAGGAATGTGTGATGGTGTGTGGAGGAATGTGTGATGGTGTGTGGAAGAATGTGTGATGGTGTGTGGAGGAATGTGTGATGGTGTGTAGGGGTGTGTGATGGTGTGTGGAGGAATGTGTGATGGTGTGTAGGGGTGTGTGATGGTGTGTGGAGGAATGTGTGATGGTGTGTGGAGGAATGTGTGATGGTGTGTAGGGGTGTGTGATGGTGTGTGGAGGAATGTGTGATGGTGTGTAGGGGTGTGTGATGGTGTGTGGAGGAATGTGTGATGGTGTGTGGAGGAATGTGTGATGGTGTGTAGGGGTGTGTGATGGTGTGTGGAAGAATGTGTGATGGTGTGTGGAAGAATGTGTGATGGTGTGTAGGGGTGTGTGATGGTGTGTAGAGAATGTGTGATGGTGTGTAGGAGTGTGTGATGGTGTGTAGAGAATGTGTGATGGTGTGTAGGGGTGTGTGATGGTGTGTAGAGAATGTGTGATGGTGTGTAGGGGTGTGTGATGGTGTGTAGAGAATGTGTGATGGTGTGTAGGAGTGTGTGATGGTGTGTGGAAGAATGTGTGATGGTGTGTGGAAGAATGTGTGATGGTGTGTAGGGGTGTGTGATGGTGTGTAGAGAATGTGTGATGGTGTGTGGAGGAATGTGTGATGGTGTGTAGAGAATGTGTGATGGTGTGTAGAGAATGTGTGATGGTGTGTAGGGGTGTGTGATGGTGTGTGGAGGAATGTGTGATGGTGTGTAGAGAATGTGTGATGGTGTGTGGAGGAATGTGTGATGGTGTGTAGAGAATGTGTGATGGTGTGTGGAGGAATGTGTGATGGTGTGTAGAGAATGTGTGATGGTGTGTAGAGAATGTGTGATGGTGTGTAGGGGTGTGTGATGGTATGTGGAGGAATGTGTGATGGTGTGTAGAGAATGTGTGATGGTGTGTGGAGGAATGTGTGATGGTGTGTAGAGAATGTGTGATGGTGTGTGGAGGAATTTGTGATGGTGTGTAGAGAATGTGTGATGGTGTGTAGGGGTGTGTGATGGTGTGTAGGGGTGTGTGATGGTATGTGGAGGAATGTGTGATGGTGTGTGGAGGAATGTGTGATGGTGTGTAGAGAAGGTGTGACAGTGTGTAGGGGTGTGTGATGGTGTGTGGAGGAATGTGTGATGGTGTGTAGAGAATGTGTGATGGCGTGTGGAGGAATGTGTGATTGTGTGAAGAGAATGTGTGATGGTGTGTAGGGGTGTGATGGTGTGTGGAGGAATGTGTGATGGTGTGTAGGGGTGTGTGATGGTGTGTGGAAGAATGTGTGATGGTGTGTGGAAGAATGTGTGATGGTGTGTAGGGGTGTGTAATGGTGTGTGGACGAATGTGTGATGGTGTGTAGGGGTGTGTGATGGTGTGTGGAAGAATGTGTGACGGAGTGTAGGGGTGTGTGATGGTGTGTCGGGAATGTGTGATAGTGTGTGAAGGAATGTGTGACAGTGTGAAGGGGTGTGTGATGGTGTGTAGGAGAATGTGTGATGGTGTGTACAGAAGACTCTACTGCGTGCAGACAGAAGCTTACTCAGAGAACCCTACCAAGCGGCTCATCAATGGTGTTACCTAACAAATCATTCTAGCAACGATAATCTTTACAAAATACCTTTCCAAGGTTATACTCATAGACTATATGGCACGCTAAGATCTCATCAAATGATTTTCCAGTTCTGCCTCCAACTTTTTGAGAATCAACTTGAGGCAACTGGTTAATGAAATTGTCAAAATTGTTTTCTACTCAAATGGCCATATACTGGTACCTTAATTCAAAACGCCAACGCCAGAGAATAATCAGTCTCCATTATCTGTTGAAACAGATTCAACTAGGCGTAAAAGGCAAATAGTGATGAAAATTATCTGAATGAATCACTGAAAATCAGTGCTGACACTAGTTGTTTGCTGAAAGAGAAGCATGTCCTGCTCTATCAGGTTAAAAATACTGGCCTTCGTGAAAAATGTGTCCAAGTAGATCTGAGGTATACGTATATCTATATATCATTAACATATCGTGGTACTGCAGCATGTCTGAGGAGATATCTACATATCAATTCACACATTTAATACTACATGTCCTAGTGAGCAGGATATATGGTACTTACAACAATTACCAACGACATGATACTGCATGTTTTAGTGAGTAGGATATATACATGTATCACAACATCAACACATGATATAGCATGTTTTAGTGAGCAGGGTATATACTTATATCACACCATCAACTTATGATACTGCATGTTTTAGTGAGCGGGATGTATACTTGTATACTTATATCACACCATCAACACATGATACTGCATGTTTTAGTGAGTAGGATATATACTTAT